TATACAAAGTTCGATACTTCGATGGTGTGAAATGTCGTGCTCAATTACTTCATGCAAAGAGCTTTATCTTGTTATTGGTAATCTCATTCCCTTGTTATTACCTATTATTAGTTATTAGTAGCTAATTAATAGTGGCTGAAGAAATAATAGATACAATTAGCGAAAAAACGCAGCAGCTTATATATATATATATATATAAGGGTTGGTTCAAATAAAAACTAGTCCTGGTGTGAGAACCGTAAGAACCATATTTGATGCTATTTTTAATTATGTATGATGCTATTTTTAATCTCACATGGTGCTATCATTTTTACAAATGCTAACATAAATTGTGTTGCTATTTTTAATAAAATACGTCCTGATTAAAAATAGCACTAAAATACAATCAATCATAGCACTACATACAATTAAAAATAGTGGTTCTCACGTTAGGATTTAGTTCTCATTTGAACCAAATTATATATATATATATATGGAAGTCCNTGTTATACCACAAATACTTGAACCGTTGAACCGCTCCTCTCCGAACCGGGTTGCGTCTCCATGATCGTCGGTACCTACAAAACACGCTGGGGGTGGTCCCGGCGCGAACACTCTGACGCTCAAGTCAGTGGTGGTCCGAGAGAGAAAATGGCAGATTAACAATATAACGAGTGTATGTGTGTTATGTAAATTGAATGAACCTGTCTTTTTTATAGGTGAGGTCACGTGCAAGTCGAAGAGTTCTTGTCGGTCTAGAAGTCTTCCTCATATCTATCTCTAAACTAGGTCAAAGATGTCCATAACTTCAGAGTCCTTATCACTACAAACTCTCTCGTGACTTGGCCACGAAGTCACCGCCGAGCTGCCTAGGTCCCAAGGTGCTTAGCTGCCTTGGTGCCGAGGCGCCCAGCTGTCTAGCTGCTGAGATGTCCCACTGCCTAGGCGATCGCCTCCGCCTAGCTCACGTTGAGCTGGTCTCCGCCTAGCGCCCACTACTAAACTCGGACCACGACCGATCCCTTATGAACCACTATTCATGGTCGTATCATATATATATATATATATATATATATATATATATAATTATTAACTAACTTAAAATTGCAAAACACAAAATTCACGAATTTATGGAAATTGGGAGAAGCAAAATTCTCTGTCAATTTCCAGTGATTCCCTAATCGGATTAATTTAATTTCGATAAAGAATCTATAGATTTCATGTTGATTTTCTGACAACCTTATTGATTATCCAAGTGCGTTAATGTGTACTTTCTATAAGTATTTTTTCTCTTAAAGATATTTTATTTTATGCTTTTATAGGATTACATGTTGATTGAGGTGGAAGTATGTGGTTTAATTTGTATTTATCTGTCAAAGTAGAGCTTAAGGATGAAGGGTTTGATGACAAAATTAGTGGACACTCGATTATATCCTAATTTTTATTTATGTGTTCTTTCACTCACACGTGATCCAACGAATTTCTTTATTGTTCTCTTTTTTTTTTTTTCNCTTTTGGATTCATTTACCAACTTGTACAACTATGATTTATTTGGATAACATATTATTTCAGAAATATGGTTGTTAGACTATTAATAATATATACATACACATATATATATATATATACTTACTATATACTATATAGTATTATATTTTTATTTATGTTATTTCATAAAATGTCATATTTAGATATACATAAATCTATTAAAATGATATAGCAAGATATCGTGATTTTACACGTCACATCAATTTAAAATTAACAATTCATTGTTAGAATTTAACCTTATGCGAATAAAAACATCGCTTTAATCTCAGGATCGGAGCATTCATATCGAATAATAAAAAATCAAAACTGATAAATGCGGAAGCGTACCGGATTTTATGAAATGAAAATCCTTCTGTTCTTTAGTTTGCCAGCTAGAGTGTTGTGTTCTTCGAAATGATCTTGTTGGAATGATATGGTCTTTCAAACGAGCAGCAGATGTATACGTATGTCTCTTGTGTGTATTTTTTTGAAGTGTGAAGGTGGGTGCTTTTAAAGGGGAAAACACCTATTCGGAAATTTGCTCGTACTTTTTCGTCGTTTGGGGTCATAACCAAATAAATAAGAATTATTGATTTTCAATTCGATACCTTAACAAACAGAAAATTCCATAATGATATATCTATATTTTTAAATCCATAACTATTTGATACTTTCTTTATTTAAAACTATAAATTAGTATATCACCTTAATTAAATTACATTTTGACAACTACATTTAATTTACATATGTTGTCCGACGATGTTGCTATGGAGCCATTGGATAGCTCGACTTATGGATTACTCCATAAGGGAGTCATCCGATGACTCTATATAATTTCTATGTTGTCCAAATAAATCTATATATATATATATATATATATAATTTCTAGCAAAGAATTTAATAAAACTTCTTTTGTTTTCCCACCTTTTTTCGTTATTTCTGCATTCATTAAGTAATTATATTTTTTATTTATTTTATTATATAATTACTACTATTAATTAATAATAAAATAACATTAAATGTCATTCTATTCTAAAGCTTTTTTCAAACTATTTATTTAAACTTATTATTTCTTTTATTTTTTAAACTCATTAAGTAATTTATTTAATTAAAATTAGTTAAATATTTCTTATGGCATGACCAAACTATTTAAAATTTTGTACACAATTGCAATAATAATAATTTCAATATTGTTTTATCCAGTTAATTGGTCATAATCAGCCAAGATCACATCAATATAAAGATTAATATATAAGTTAAGTAAATTATATTTATATCTTCATTTTTATTAATAATAAAATTTGTAAAATGTGATAGACTCATTATCTAACTTATGATTTTAATATAACATAAACACACATATATATAACGTATTAAAATTTTATTTACATTTATGCACGTGCACAGGAGCAATACTAGTTATTTGTATCATTCATATTCTTACACACCATTAATATAATCATTATGTTAATAATATTAAAATGGCTTTATTCTATTCTATAAAGCCTTCCATAAATAATTTCTTTTTCTACTTTTTTTTTCCAGCTGGATTTTACATGAAAAAATAAATACCATTTCCAATTCTAAACAAGTTTAAAAAATATATTAAAATTGAATGAACTTGTGCTGACCAACTAAATAATTGATGATCAAATGAGTTTTTGAAATTTATAAATACGTGGTGGCACGAAATGTGAGCTTCTTTTGGCAGGCCATCTCAGATTTTCTGCAAATTTAGAGTCTGTTTGTTTATGAAATTTTTTGATTTTGTTTGGATTTTTTGGTTTGGTTTGGTTAAATTTAAAAAAAGTGGTATAGTTAGTTGTTAATGAATATATTAAAATAATATTTAGGCTTTTTGTGACAAATAAACAAATGGTTAATTAAACTTTGAATCTGGCTTTTTCCAGTAATTTTTGAAAAACCTATCTGGTAAATTACACTTGTGAACTTAACAGAACATCTAAAGAAGATCTTTTTCCATTGACAAAGCCTAAACGATGTGTGTCAAATTGCAGTTGTGTTCCATGCCCTGTCAAATTTCTAAAAACTGTTTGTTTGNCAGTTCAGCATGAATTTTAACATAAATGTAACTTGCAAATTAGAGATTATTATTTTTAAATATGATATAATGTCTAATACAACATGATTCACACAAAGAGTAAATCCAAGGTTGGGTTAGAATCAGAGGTTTGAATGAACCTCAATTAGAGGTTTTTCTAATTAGATCTCTTGCTCCACATATTTGGTAATGATAGTTTGGTGTATATTTATGATTAACTATATTAATTAGCATTAGTTATAGAGAGTTAATTTTTATTAATTTAATATTAATATGTATTTATTACATATTATACTTAATATATTTATAGATCACGACCTATAAATGTGTATGTTGTTATGTGAATTTGTAACAATGTGGATTAGCTGTAATCTGCTTGGGATACTTAACTCATACAACAGTAAAAATTTGAGGCTTTGGGGTACGGATATGAATTCTAGTCGTAATTATAATTTTATTCTATTTATTACCTTTTGATAGAATTTCTAGTCGTAATTATAATTATATTCTATTTATTACCTTTCTGAGAAGGTTCAAAATCCCCTCATTTAATGCCCTCTCTTTTCCTTTTATAGGAAATCTAAGGTTAGTAGAGTTACAACCTTTTTTCGGATTTTTTCTTTTTGTTTACAAGATATTCTAGAAATTTTAAAGCACGCCAGCATTTAACGTTTTGTACCATCTGGGTAGAATCTCAACGCAGACGATATTCCTTACCTTTAACGCGCATCTCAGCGGGTGTGAGCCATTGGATCAGGGACTTTTACGCCCCATCGTCTGTCAGTGAATCCTATACGGATAATCTGTTGATTTGACTCGCATAAATTGAACAACTCGTCCGGACTTTAGTTTTCTCAGTCTGTCTGGGTGGGTCGTTCCATGAACTGCATTGGATCACATACGTACCGTACACCTGGCAACCAGTTCGTACCCCCATATACAGGCCCCAGGCTTCGGTCGATGCAGACGTTCTCTGTTTATTTATGTGGACCGAAAATAGAGGACATCTAATGTTCAGTTGTACGAACGAAAGGGTTGTAAAAAATCATGAAGACAAAGTGTGTTGAAATCCTTCATGGGTCCCACTTCGTAAAAAGGCGCGTCAATTTGGTTTAGCCGACAGCCCACTGGGAAACATAGGACTCGTGGCCCTATCTTATTGGTTAGCATGTCTTGAATGGGTGCAAGAGACGCTATGTCTGCCAGTGTCATTTCGGCAATTCAACTGCCACGTCTTCTTAATTGCAACAATGGGCTATAAATATCGAGACTGTGTCTCCATAATTTCTTTTTCCTCGTCTTTGCTCAAGATATTTCCTTAGAATTCTCTGAAAGCGCGGATCACGGACTGGCTGACTGTTCATAACTCTTTCGTCGATATTTCCCGGTAAGGTCTTTTTTCTCGATTAATCTTTCTTTATTCTTGTTTGAGATGTCTATCTCTTCCGGAAGTTACGATGAAGAACAAGTGGATGAGGTTCTAAGAGGGAATACAACGGGCCAAATGAGACTCCCTTTAGCACGTGAGAGTCCGGTTATAGATGTAGTGATTGAACAGTCAACGAGCTGTCTCTCTGGATTTTGGCGCCGCCCTCATCGTTATTGGTCGTCGCCGACCCTCTTTAAATGGTAGTATCCCAAGTTTCATGAAGGACGGTGAAATTGTGAAATTTTGTTCCGCACTCCAGATGCCGAGGAAGATCCCCATGTTTGCCCTGTACTGGAGGGAAAGAATTCGCAGCCTGCCCGCCGGCTGCATCGGCGTTTTCAAGAAGTCGATCTCATTCAGGCTGAGATTCCCTCTCCCTAGTATCTTGTCCCTGTACCTACGGGATTGGGGCTTGGGTTCACTCAGGTGTCCCCCATCGCCTGGTTGAAGATCATAAATCTGCTAGTTTTTTTCAACGAGTAAGGTTGGGATGCCCCACTTGTGAGGAGATCCAGAGGCTTTATATGTTCAAAGAGTCCCGAAAGAAATTTTGTCTATTTTCCATTTCTACCAGAGACGGGACCTTCAAGGAATTGATCACAAAGGTCTCGGACACCATACATAAGTCCAAGAAATCGTAGATGTGGATAGGAGAAGATTGGCAGACGCGACGATCAGAGGAGGACGTTGAGGCGTCGGATTTCTTAGTCGTCCCGACTAAATTTGTTGCTAAATTTCATGAGTTCTTTTATATACCGTGACTTTTACCACATATTATAATTTGCTTGTTTTCTTGCTTTTGCACTAACAGGTCGACTTCATTGTCTCAACAAAGATATTTCGCACTGAGAAGGGTCGTCGCTGGTGGAGGACTCATACTTTGTAGCTGTCGGACTCTGCTCGGGATTTCAGGAAGCATCCGTCAAACCTGGTAAATTCAATATCTGCTCCACTCGGCTTCTTGGTCAACCCTCGCTCATCTGGTTCATCCAATTTATTTTACTCTACTTTGTATGCAGTCTTTTCTCCGTTGTCAAATTTCTGTGGGTCAAGTTCTGTGGGAGAAGCTAGAAAGGTTGAGTTCATTCTCCGAAGTAAGAAGAAAGCCAAAGACGATATGGACCGAGTCGTTACCATTGCCCAAATGCAATCCTTTATCGATCTTGAGCCTAAGGACCTCGACATCCAAATGATTGATTTCTCCCCCAATACCAATCAACCACTTCGGAGACGACGCTTGGACCGGGGGAAACGGTTAAACGACGTCAGCGAGAATCGCCCTCAGAAAAGAACTGTCTAATCATTACCCATGGAGTGGGATCGAGCAAAAAATCCACTACACTGGCTGCTCAAAGTACATTGGGCGAGGAGAAAGACGCTCATGTCCATTAGGATGGGACTGACACATTCCTACGAGTTGATTTGGTTCGGGCGAAACACAAATAACGGCTGAAAGGCATAACGGACGACTGGTTCGTGAGGTACAAATCGGGTTCCAACCCAAAAATTCCGAATGTCAACTTCTGGCCGCCCCATGTGGTGGATTCTTCAACAGTCCCGTTGATGAGTTGGGATCCGCTGGCGGAACAGGTTGCTCAGAGCTTGACTGTCGCGGAAAAGATACAGCATACGGCCGGGATCTTAGGTTGAGCCTTGTGTAACCATGGTGCGTCAATGGCCAAAGTTCGTCGTATTGCCAACGATCTGGTTCAGCTGAGGATCGAACACGAGGTGTGTAAGGGCAAGATCAATTCTTTGAAAGAAAAAGTGAAATGGGAGAAGCTTAGAACTCAAAGGCGTAGAGATGGAGGGTGAAATTGAAGTGCTCAAAACGAAGCAATTGAGTCTAGTGGCCCAGTTCGAGGAGCTCAAAGGAAAATAAGACGCCGCCGCACAAGAGAGAGAAAAGATTGCAAAAATGAACATGGACCTCGAGAGTCAAATGTCTCAAACCGTTCAGGAGTTGAAGTCTTCTCACGACGATGGATTTTTACAAGAAAACCTCTAATTATGTGCGAGATCTTGAGTTCAACGTTGTTTTCATTCTAAACTGGGTCATCGGTCATTTGGAAAACGGGACTCGTAGACTGGCGGAGATTAAGGGGATTTGGGACATTAAATGTGATCGGCTTTGGATCCCGACCAAGATGAAAGTCATTACGCTGTCGCCGGACGAAGATGAAATCACCTACGACAGCATGAGGATGGGTGGTGGTCCTTCCAAATCAATGGCCGATACGATGGTAGAGAGTTCAACCCCAGGATGCGTGAACCGTTTGAGATCTCAAACGAGAACGAGGGGATGGCCGAGGCCGGACAACAAAAGGACCGAACTGACCCAGGAGCCGACGTTGAGCAAGATCGAGAAAATACAGACCCAACCGTATGATGATTTCTTCTCAAATGAATGTCGTTTGTTACTTTCTAAGAGTGTATGGATGAAACAATGTTTTCTCTTTTTTATGTTTTTCGGGTGATGTGGATTCGTAGTGTTTGAGTTTCTGTTGTTTGCATTTTTTGTCAGAAATGTTCGAGAAAGTACTCAATGACATTACTTTCGTATTGATGCCTAGGCGGGGTTAAGCCAGTTATTTATATATGTTTCAAATAGGATGTTTTCAGTTTATCTTCGTGAGTAGATTCGATTTTTGAATTACCTCTAGTATATTTTCGTTCCTTATGTTCTTTGTATTCTTTTGAATACTTGATTTTGGCTTCAACGCCTTCATCGAATAACTTATTGTTATTCGGTTCGCACTTGTTTCGGGTATTTTATTTTTACTTATTGCTCTCGTCGAATAACTTATTGTCATCCGGTTTGTACTCTTGTGAGTATTTTATTCTATTTTGGCTATAATGTCTTCACCAAATAACTTACAGGTTCATTTCAATACAAGGTCAGTTGGCTCGTACTGAAATTGGTGGAGGGGGTAGATGATATAACACCAAAAATAAGTTCAGCTATTCGGTTTGAGTGAGTCGCTCTGCTACTGTTGAGCTAGGAGAACTCTCGTTGGTATAGAGACAAGTAGCTCGAACACTAGTTAAGGGAGTCGAGCTAACAGAACAGACATGACTTGGAGGTATCGGTCTCCAGGAGCCCGGTAAGTAAGCCAACCCCGCTATGCATCAAGGTCAGGTGGCCTGAGGGCTTAAACCTAAGGGAGAGATCGGATCAGACCTCAGAGCAAGGACAAGGTCAAGGACGTCCTCAGAAGGCCCATAACAGACAGGATGAGAGGTCGGACATGTGACTTAGGATCCCTGGGCTAAAACAGTAAAAGGGAGAAGAATCAAAGTAAGAAGGAAAGAATCACTCGCACAATGACTCTTGTCAAGATAGAGACGTGGTAAGTTGAAGTAGAATTCCAGTGGATCTATTTCCTAACAAGAACTCTCATCGACTTGAAAGTATTCAATCCTATAAAAGGACATCATGTTCTCTCGATTTACACAACACACAATCCAAACTTATTTTCTATACCTGTATTCGCAGTTGAGCAAGTTCTGACTTGAGCGTCGGATAATTTTTTGTCAGGACCCATTCCCGGCATATTGCAGGTTATCGAAGGCTTGAGGAAGAAGATCGTTCAAGTTGGAAGGTGTTCAACCCGATCGTGACCAAATGTGGCGTATCAATATCATTGAAAAAGAATAAGTAAATTAGATAAATCTTAATATATCGTACATTTACTTATATACTAATAAGTGTGTATATTATTTTCAGTCAAATCTCCTTAAATCATATATTAATATGTTGTATCCCTAATAACTATTCTTTTTTTTTTTCTATTTTAAATATTTTCTCTATTTTGTACACTTGAACTATTCTCTTTATTTTTCAAGATTATTTTTTTACATAATTCGAACAATAATCTAAATCTAATATATATACACACACATATATATAGGGACTGGTTCAAATAAAAACTAATCCTGGTGTGAGAACCATATTTGATGCTACTTTCAATCAGTGTTTTTCAACCCGGACCGGCCTGGCGGGTTGACCCGGGACCCGGTCGACCCAGGGCCGGAACCGGTCCGGGTGGGCTATTCGAACCGGGAAACAAAGGACCCAGTCAACCCCGGTCAAAACCCGGTCAACCCGGCCTTGACCCGGTGGACCCGGGACATTGACCCGGCTGGGTCAACCCGGTTGACCCGGTCCTATATATTTTTTTTTTATTTTTTATTTTTTAATATATTTTTTATTTTTAAAAAATAAAACTATTTATATATATTTATATGGTAAATATTTATCATGAAATTCATATTATTAATACTTTAATGTGTAAATTTTATATACAAAATATTTAATTTTGTTATTTTTATGTATATTTATAAGACAAAATACTCTATATATAATTTAAAAAAATTTAAAATTAATTATCCGGTTCAGCAATTGACCCGGTGACCCGGCGGTTGAACCGGTGACCCGGTGACCCGGAGACCTGTCCGGGTCGATTCCCGGGCCGTGTTTAAAAACTATGCTTTCAATTGTGTATGATGCTATTTTTACTCTTACATGGTGCTATCATTTTTACAAATACTAACATAAATTGTATTGCTATTTTTAATAAAATACATTCTGATTAAAAATAGCACTAAAATACAATCAATCATAGCACTAGATACAATTAAAAATAACAGTTCTCACGGTTCTCACGCTAGGACTTAGTTCTCATTTGAACCACGTCCTAAATATATATATATATATATATATATATTAATAAAATGTCACTTAATTCTATACGGATGGAGTATATAATACTATTAACTAAATTAAGTAAAATACCATATCAAACCCNGCAATGAAGGAATTATGTCGACAACTAAAGTAAATGATGCGGGTTTGGATGATATTTGTGTGGTGGCCAATGGAACCCGAAAAGTATTTGGGGTTAGGTGTAAGGGGCCTGTGGTTATTAACACATCTCAAGAAAAATGTATCTGCACTTAACCATAATTAATAACAATTAGGAACCAGTTTAGTTTTTAATTATGAAGGGACCCAAAGACTTTGCAAAAGTCAAAATGTCCGTCCCTCTCTTGTCTAGGGATGCAAAAAGTCTTGATTGCCCCGCATTGTTCATCCTCACTTTCAATGTAGAGGGATTTGTGTTTCTTATTTTTTATTTTTTTTAGGTGACGAAAAATAAAATATGGAGGGTGATCAAACTCATTTGTAAAAAGTTAATCCATGTGAATGTTCATTATGCAATTCCGTTGTCTTTCTTGTGGTCAAGTGTACTTAATTTTTTTTAATAATCTGTAATTGTGATTAGGTAGATTGCTAGGGCAATAAGATCATGTAATCATACCAAAACGTTGATGCTTCTTATAGAATGCACCGGTAAATCGATGATTATTACTTTCTAACCCTCTTGTTAAAGTTTGACTAGTCAACTATCAATTCTCAACATGAAAGACCAAAATTTAAGTCTTCAAATATAGCTGTTAAAAAAACAAATGAAAACATATTAATATATACAAATAAAAGCTAAAAATGATGAAAACATCAACATATGTTTGTAGGACATATAAAATATGAAAATATAAAAAACTGATAAATAAGTAATATTTGAATATAATTAAGTAATATACGAAAAAAAAATATATATGGTAAATTTTTGTCCCAATCACATACGAATATACAACGAGATGGAAGCATACATTTAATGTTGTTTTCCTATCTCTTTTTTTTAATTTTTTATTCATCTTCGTGTTTTTTTTTCTCTCATGTATATTTGTGATGGTCATATCATCACCTCTTAATAAGTATAATTGGAGTAAATTGTAGTTTTAAATTGATAATTCATAACTCAGGACCGAATTGATATATTTTAATTTTTCAAGTCTCAAATTGAAAAATAATTTTAAAATATTCTCTCTCATGGGAGCTTCCGATTATCTCCGGTGAGATCGACCTAGTTTTCAGTGATTTTCAGTGTTTTTCGTAGATAATCCCCGTCTATCAGCAATGGAGGATCGGAACAATGTGGGGCGTGATGAGGAGTTAGCAAACCGATTGAAAGGATGCTCTCTATCGTCGAAGGAAACAAAAGTTACCGACATCGGTAAAGAAGATATCCGGCTAAGCGCTGAGGAATGCCAACGTAGCCTCTTTGGGAAGGTGATAGGAGATCGTAAAGCAAGTTGGATAGGAGTGAAAAGGACGATGAGTAATATCTGGCATCTCCAAAAGCCTATGGAAATCAAAGAATTAGGTCACAATTTTTTTCAATTCCTATTTCAAGACAAAGAAGATATGAGAAGAGTAGCCAAAGGGTCTAACTGGATATTTGAGAATCAATATCTGATTCTCAAGGAGTGGGAGAAAGGCCTTACCAGCGCTCATCCAAGTTTCAAGGAGATTGACTTATGGGCTCAGGTCATAAATTTACCCTTAGACTGGGTAAGCGCAGAAGTAGGCCTGAAGATTGGAGAAGTGTTCGCTGAGGTCAAAAATGTGGTGGTAGCTAGCTCTGGCCTTCATGGGGGTAAGATTCTTAAACTTCTTGTTTCGTTAAATCTGGATGAGGCTATTCCTAGATGTACCAATATTAGGCTTGGGGAGGAAGTAGTTACAGTGGGATTCAAATATGAGAAATTGGTGAACCTATGCCACTATTGCGGCTTCATTGGACACCTTGATAGAAATTGCAGTATAAGGCTGGAGGATATCAGACTCCATAGGCTGAAAGATGGGCAATTTGGAGAATGGCTCAAGGTAGATGACAACTTTCCAAGGCAGGGTTTTAGCCCCTCGGGATCCAGACACTCTCCCCCATTTGGTCATCAAACAACTGAAAATC